ATGAATAGCAAGAAGAGAAGCAGATAGTAAGAATGATATTCTTTATTAATTAAAAGGGAAATATGTGTCCTACAATGCTTGGGGGTCGGGCTAGCCCCGAGGAGTAATATCTAATAGTCATTGGGTTTACATCCCTTAAAATTGGAAGAAGAACACATAATGACTAAAGTCGTTCTTGATGCTTGGACCCCTTCGTTTGGAAAAATTTGATTCGAGGTGCGGAGGGGAGACTTCCCTTTTCTCCGTGCAGCTTGATCCTTTGTAGGGTCATGCTTCAAAGGATTGTCTTTAAAATCTGGTGGCTCCCTTATTCCATGAGAGTTTCTAATGAGCCCTTGGTTTGGGCGGTATCCATATTTCCTCATCATGTGGGTCACTTTCATATTGTTGGGGAAGTCTTTTCATATTGGCAAAAGACATTTCAAAGGTCTTCTTTAGCCGCATCCATTCAAGGTAGGGCAGATGGCTTGTTGTTCTGAATGTCTTCTTTAGCTCGAACCGTGACCAGCTTATTGCCTACCGTGAGTTTTTCTTTTTGGTGGAGTGTTGAAAGAACTGCCTTAGCGTCGTGAATCCAAAGTCTACTCAATTTCCTCTTTGGATTATGTTTTTCTTGGGTCTTTTTATTTCTTCCTTTATTCTTAGCAGTGTCATTTTATAGGTCCTGGGGGAAATAGATTCTTCCACTTCTAATCCTGTCCCCGATACCGGCTATTCTGGAGATATCCTCATTGATGGGCGATGTTTTTGCGTATCTCCATGGTACAACTTTATTCGATTCGAGGCATGAACAAATGTAACGACATCCTTGCCCCCTCTTCCTTATTAACTTGGATATCCAACGGTTGAGGCTTATTATCCTCCTTAGGCGGATCAACCGTTGGAGAGAACTTGGCAACGAAAGGTTTGTTTTTCATCTTATTCCGATTCATGGGAAGCACATCAATTAATCTTTTCTTTTTATTATCTTATTATTATTAAAGTGAGAATGAATGAATGCAATTTATGAATGTAATAGACAGTTGAAGAGATGATGAAAACAAACAATTTTATTTATTTCATCCAGATAGTGTACATTCCTCAATGCAATGTTTCAAGTACATTTTTTAAAAGTGGAGAAGCCTAAAGGAACCCATAGGCAGGTTAGAATTCCTATGTATTTTCTCTTTTGACTTCCCGTGCACGGCATGTGAATGCCTTATCCTCTCTACATGGTATTGAGGAATGTCCACTTTCTTCAACTGCTTACTACTAGATGAATGTTATGAAGTTTGGTGGATGTATGTATGCAAGTGTTTGTTTTTTTCTAAACATTATCATGTTTTATGATGTATGATATTGTTTGGAATTTTGCTTTTTTCTGTATGCAGGTGAGGGCTTGAAGAATACCAGCTACTTTCTGAAATGCATATGAATTTAAGAATGTTTTTTTTTATTTTGAAATAAAATGAATGATTAGTGTGGGATAGATATGCCTTAAGACAATGGCTTTGGTATCATCCTTAAAGCTTACGTTTCACGGAGCACCATACCCACTTTGGTATAATGATTCCTTCCCCATCATGGATTTGACGAGTATAATGAAGGTCACCATACATCTTAGCGCACTTGTCCCTTCCTTGTGGAAGATTACAAGCGCACTTGGGTCTCTTTCTCCTTTGCCTTAGAGGTATCTAATGCCCCCTAGCATGGATGTGTTTATGCATGCAGCAGTACAAAAAGGCGGCAGATGTTCAAAGTGAGATAACTTTTGACTGGGATGTCAGATTTGGACACACAACATATCAAAACGAAGAGGAAAGAGTGAAGAAAACGTGACAAATATCCATAGGGGATTTGGCCCAACAATTTTCCCAAAAAATACCCCTAAGACCCATTTTTTGAGAGATTTATTAAGATGATGCGTATGCATACTTTCCTTATGCATTTATTTTCTCTCTTGGTTTTTCCACTTATGAGATGATGCGATATGAATGATACGACTTTGTCAAAAATCTTTTTATTAGATTTTGGTTATTTCTAAATGAATGAGTTTTATTTTTATTGAACTTTCTATGTCGGTTGAAATTTAATCGACATAGAACGTGAATTTGCTCAAATACCATGTCGGTTACATAACAACCGACATAAAAAGTTCATAATATTATTACAAAAATGCCACCGCCCTACATACTATGATGGGTGGATTACAACCGTCATAAAAAGTCGTCATAGAATCATATTTTTCCACTAGTGTCCGAGCTGCACTGATTGGAGCTCACATGCCAGCAATATATTGGGGAGAAGCTCTCACATATGCAGTATACACTACCAACCGAACACCGTCCAGGTCTCTTGAGTATAAAACACCTCTTCAATCACTTACAGATGTAGTAGTAAGTCCTAGAATTGCTGAACTAACACATAAATTTTTTGGTTGTGTTGCTTATGTTCACTTACACAAGCATAAAAGAAGTAAGATGTCTCCTAAAGCTGAAAGGTGTGTGTTCCTTGGCTATGTGGATCGCCAAAAAGGATATCAGTGCTACAATCCACAAACCAAATAAATGTTTACTACTATAAATGTAGTTTTTCATGAGACCGTGATATATTTTTCCCTTGAGTCTAAAATTCAGGTGGAGAATTATGATGAAGTTCAGACTTTTGTTCCTCAAGAAATTAATACTGAGGTCAGATTGGAGAAAGGAAATTACAAAGTTGTATCACGAGATCATGAAAGTGTGCAACAATATGATGATCAACAACCACATAATGAGGAAAAATTTGAGCATATCAAGATCGAAAGTTTGCCTATTGATGCTAATGATACCACACCAATCGTCCCCTCAAGAACCTAATACAGAAAAAAGAATTCTTCCTAATCGTGTCACTAGAGGTATCCCTAAGCCTACTTATGATCCTAACCTCACCAATAAGACAAGATACCATATGAGTAATTATATTTGTAACCAGAATTTGTCAAACTCAAATATCACATTTATAAGTCAATTATCTACTGTATCTATTCCTAACTGTGTGTAGGAAGCTTTAGCTGACTCCAGGTGGAAAGATACTATGAATGAGGAGATGAGATCCTTGCAAATAAATAAAGCATGGGAATTGGTAGATTGTCCAGTTGGAAAAAAACCAGTAGGATGTCAATAGGTGTATACTGTGAAATTTAATGCAGATGGCACAATTGAGATATTCAAAGCTAGATTAGTGGCAAAGGGGTATACACAAGCATATGGAATCTATTACACTGAAACGTTTTCTCCCGTAGTCAAAATTAGCACAGTTTGAGTATTGTTATCTCTAGTTGTAAACCTTGATTGGTCCTTACAACAATTTGACATAAGAAATGTTTTCTTACATGGGGAATTATTTAAAGAAGTTTATATAGAGCTACCAGAAGGATGTGGGATTCCTGATACACATAGAAAGAAGGTATGCAAGTTGAAGAAGTCATTGTATGGACTAAAGCAATCACCCCGAGCATGGTTTGGTAGATTCACCAAGTCAATGCTTGCTTTTGATTATCAACAAAGCAACTAAGATCATACCTTGTTTCTAAAGAAAAGAGAAGGAAATATTACAATTCTTATTGTCTATGTTGATGACATGATAGTTACGGGAGATAATCTAGAGGAACGCAAGGCATTGAAAGAGTACTTGGCAAATGAATTCGAGATGAAGGATCTTGGTTCTTTGAAGTACTTTCTTGAAATTGAGCTCTCAAGATCAAAGTCAAGTATTTTTCTCTCACAGCGAAAGTATGCATTGGATTTATTGAAAGAAACTGGAATGACAGCATGCAAACCAACACATTCTCTAACTAAAGGAGGATTGAAGTTGTGCATTGAAGAAGATCAAACTCCAACTAACAATGGAAGATATCACAGACTTGTAGGGAGATTAATGTATCTCTCACACACCAGGCCAGATTTAGCCTATGCTCTTAGTGTGGTTAGTCAATTCATGCACAATCCAGGTGAAAAACACATGGATGCTATTATATGGATTTTAAGGTACATAAAAGCCGCTCCTAGAAAAGGAGTTATGTTCAAGAAAAACTCCAACTATAAGGATGTGATGATGTATACTAATGCAAATTGGGCAGGTACTCTTGATGATAGAAGATCAACCTCTGGATACTTTACATTTGTAGGAGGTAATCTTGTCACATGGAAAAGCAAGAAGCAAAAAGTTGTAGCTAGATCCAGTGCAGAAGTTGAACTTAGAGGAATGATTTTTGGACTTTGTGAATGTTTGTGGCTCATACTACTTCTCCAGGATTTAGGGTATGCACATACATGTCCTATTAAGTTGTATTGTGATAATAAAGTTACGCGCGACATTGCTCACAACCCTATCCAACATGATCGGATGAAGCATGTGGAGGTTGATAGAATTTTTATCTAGGAAAAGCTTGATAAAAATATTCTAGAATTGCCAAATATTCTATTTGAAGATCAACTAGCAGACATTCTTACCAAAGCTGTGACAAGTCAGATTTTAGGAGATTATTGGACAAGTTGGGAATGTATGACATCCATTTACCAACTTGAGGGGGGAGTGTTGAGATGAATATATTTGATTAGCTAAATTATAGGTTTGTATAACTGTACAAAATAGTGCATAATCAGAACTTACTTTATTTAGTCCTGATTTGTAGGAGTAAAATACTATAAGAACATGGTATATGTATCTAAAAGAGATATGAATAAAAATTATAGAATGAATTCTATGTTTTTCAATTGAAGCTTACCATCATTATCCAAATAACCGTCTATTTCGATACCATTTAGTGATCAAAAAGAGAAACCAACCAACACCACTCCAAAGCTCCTTTTTTCTCTCTCAATCTCTCCACACGTCACTACCAAGCGCCAATTTCTACCATCTTGTTTCTTAGGCGATTTCATCCTTTGCTTCCTCTAAGGTTTGATGTAGCATTGAATGTTGATGTGACCGAGTTCCAAACCCACTTGGTTCCTAACCCAATTATCCATTTTCCTCTTATGCTCCTATTATCTTTGTTGAGCAAGCACGAGCAACTTTCAGTTGCTGAGATCACCAATAGTGCTTTTGAACCATCCTCCATGATGGCCAAGTGTGACCCTCGCCATGGGAAGTACATGGCGTGTTGTTTGGTGTACCGGGGTGATGTTGTGTCGAAGGATGTGAATGTCGTTGTGGCGGCCATCAAAACCAAGAGAACCATGGACGACCATCGATGGAGTTGGTCTTATTCATCTCACAATTATGAACCTTAGTCAACCATGTCATACATATGGATTTTGCGCTCTCACACGAAGAGTGTTTTAGATCGATTAAAGGAGAACGTGCAAATGAGATGAGAGATAAGATTTTTTTTTAAATTATTTATTCATTTATTATTATAATTATTATTATTGTGCTAGTTAAATTTACCTTCAATTTTATGAATTAATGAAAAGTATTAATATGTTATAATTTTTATTAAAATTATTGTATTATTTTTTAACAATTTCTTTTATTTAAAAAAGATAATAACACGTGAATTATATTTACGGATAATTATGCAGGTTTATCGATGACAACGACTATATAAAGGTTGAAAAATTTTTACCACAATGACAATGATCATATAAAAAAATTTTACCACAATGACAACGATCAAATAAAGGTCAAAAAATCTTACAACGACAATAACGACCAAGTAAAGGTCGAAAATTTTTACAACGACCGTATGAAGGTCAAAGAACTCTACAACAACCATGTGCTACTACTTCTCTAGATGGAGAAAGATATTTTCCTACCATATCAAGGTCGGATAACTCTTCGAATAACTCTACAATGACGATAACATAAAGGTCAAAAAACTCTAGAATGACGACAAAGACAATATTAAGGTCAGAGAACTCTACAACAATGACAACGACCATATAAAGGTAGGGGAACTCTACAACGATGACAACGACCATATAAAGGTTGGAAAATTCTAATGACCAGAGGTTAGGATTTTCTACAACTTCTACAATGACCCAAAAGAGGTCGAGATTTTCTGCAACGATCAAATAAAGGTTGAGATTTTCTACAACAATGACCCAAAAATGATTTGTATATTCTACAACGACAAATAGGTTCAGAAGGATCAAATGTTCCTACAAAAACGAGGTGATACTTAAGGTCACGAGTCAGAAATCGACTTATATGACAACAAAGTTACTTGCATTATTAAAATATCGACGTGTAAATATAACTTTCTCAAAGCCTCAATATTTAATACTTGATGCTGAGGAGCTATATAATGTCCATGTTACTAGTCTCGTCACGTGACCGACTTGATGAGTCGAACCCGTAACAAGATGGTCAGTTACCAAAATATTACGAAAATCAGTGGCGGATCTTGACCATTGATATTGGGGCCAAATAATATATTATTGATAAATAATAAATAAATATAAAAGGAAGAAAGAAGATGAAAGGGTGAAAGGATAAAATTGTAGATATATACTTAAATATATTAAATGATCACTAAGTTTAAGGGGGACAAAATCATAAATTATATGAGAGTTACAAAACTAAGGAGGAACTGAGAGGATAAAATTGTAAATATGCAAGTAAATATATTAAATGTTTATTAAGTTTGAGAGGGCCAAAATCATAAATTATATGGGAGTTAGAAAACTTTGTGGGGAGGGGTCATGGCTCCCCTCAACTTCTAAGAAGATCCACCACTAACGAAAATCTAACTTAAAATCTTGCTTCTAACTTAAAAGCTAGGTGAGCAACAACAACTAAGTAGAGGAGATCATAAATGAAGATCCTGACCCAATACTAATGATAAATACAATGAGGTATTAGGGTTAGGGGAGAGAGGACAATGAAGGGATAATGGACAAATTATTCCTAACCTGTTTTGAAACTCCTATAATTTGAGATTAAAAATTGTGCAATATTCAAATAAATAAAAATAATAGACATAATCATAAGATCTTGAACTCTGATCTAATAATTCTAACTCTAAAACAAAATAACTCATAAAAAAAATTTAGGATTAGGTTACAATTAAGTTTTTCTCACTTGTATTGATCGAAGTCTGAAGGATTTTTTTCTATTAACAATGTAAATTTCATTTTCAAGATATATAATAAATGTTAGTCTATATTTATTTACTGCTTATAATTAGAAAAACGTTTCTTTTAGTTTTAATATTTATGAACATTTTGTTTTAACATTCTATAATATTCAATAAGAATCAAAAGAGCCGGCTGAGATTTTTTTTTTTATGATTATAAAAATAATCTTAAAATGAGAAGTGAAACACGCTATGATGAAGGGTATGTTTAATAAATAAAAAAAGTGGTAAAAGAAGCATTGTAAAATAGCGAATTTATGTCACGCTAAATGCGAGGAAGTCATGCCACCATGGTTTTGTGTTTTTTAATGGGGGCGTTGTGCGGAAGTGTGTCCTCGTTTACATTATTGTTATTATATAATAACATGCGTGGTTCTCGTGGGGAGGGCTTTTTGGGTCCATTATATTGTGATGTATGATGTTGAGTGTGAGGTAGCTAGTTTCATCTATCGCTCAAACACAGACATACACACACACACTTAGTCCTACAGAGGTGGTAGCCATGGGAGTATTAGGAATATCATCACTGAACTTGACCCCGACTACATGTGCTATCTTTACTTTGATTGGTACCGTGCTGATATGGTGGTTTTGGAATGCGGTGAACTGGATGTGGGTGAGACCTAAGAGGATAGAGAGGCGTCTGAAGGAGCAGGGTTTCCAAGGAAATTCCTACCGCCCTTTGGTTGGAGACATAAGAGATATGGTTAAAATGATTAAGGAAGCCAAATCCAAACCCATGGATCCTCACTCTAATGACATTGCACCCCGTGTATTGCCTTACGTAGTCCATACCATCGCTAAATACGGTTAGTCACTCAAATACTTCCTTCTTTTATTTTGTTTTTATACTTTGCTAAGTAGTGTGAACCTTTTAAAAATACAGGTAAGAATTCGTTCATGTGGCTTGGTCCAAGACCAAGGCTGTTCATCTTGGATCCAGACAAATTCAGAGAAATGGCTACAAAGGTCTATGACTTTCAAAAGCCCGAAACTAGTCCACTTTTCAAGCTTCTAGCATCTGGATTTGCAAATTATGATGGTGACAAGTGGGCTAAACACAGAAAGATCGTGAGTCCAGCATTTAATGTAGAGAAATTGAAGGTTAGTTTGTCATCGTCATTACTGTTCTATCAATGCACTTATATGATCTGCAGGTCAAATAATCAAAACAATTAGCTTCATTTCTTTACTCAGTTAGGAATTGCCTCCATTACTTTACTCAGTTGTCTTAAAAAATACTCAAATATTTACATTCAACCCATAATAATACCGATCGAAATTATTTAAATGAATTAAAATTAAAATTCATATTTTTAGATTTGAAATCCAATTTCATTAACTGGATTAGATATAGATTACATATATATTTTTTTAATTTTAAAAAGTCTAAAATCACTATTTATCTTAAAAAATTGTTTTGTTAAATTTCGAATAAAATGTTTTTTACTTCATCCATAATATACACATTTAAATCATTGTATCGTTCTATTATACCAATAGTAATTACCACCTCTCTTTCAACCACTTTATCTTAAAAAGCATCCTAATGATTTAATATTAAATATAATAACTAAATTAATGCAAAAAAAAAACTTAATAATGGAAATTTTATTCAAATTCAATATATTTAATCTAATTTAAATTTAAAATTTAAAATTATATTAAAAAACAAATTAATTTAATCTAATTATATTGATCTGAATTATAAATTTAATATATTATGAATGTATTCTCATGCTACCCCTACTTCTCCTGGGGATGAGTGAAAATTTTTCATGATGGCATTTCAAAATAGTGTCCTTTTTTGCTCTTATGTATGAGAAACCCTTATGCTTCTTGAATTTAGGAGTGATGTTAACACACTTAATACGGTCTGTTTTTATGATTCATGAAAAATTGGCACAGGTCTTGGTACCGATATTTTGTGAGAGTTGCGATGATTTGATCAGTCAATGGGATAGTGCGTTATCTTCGTCCAACGGGTCGTGTGAGTTAGATGTGTGGCCTTGCGTCCAAAATGTGTCAAGCGACGTCCTTGCTCGTGCAGGCTTTGGAAGTAGCTATCTAGAAGGAAAAAAAATATTCGAACTTCAAAGGGAAATGCTTCAACTGACAATGACGCTGTTTAAGTTTGCTTTCATTCCAGGTTACAGGTAGATGAAAAAAAATTAGAAACTTTATATTTAAAAAATTGAGGGGTGCATAATTTGGTATCTTAGAATTTTTATTGTGTACAACGTTTGAAAGGTTTTGGTGGCTTGAATTGCCAGTGTAGAGATTTGGTGGTGTGGTCTTGTGAGGAATGACACTTATAATCGTTCGTATTTGGTAGGTTTCTGCCCACACGTACAAACAGGAGGATGAAAGCAATTGACAAAGAAATACGAACATCACTTATGGGTATCATCAACCGAAGATTAAAAGCAATCAAAGCAGGGGAGCCTACGAACAATGACTTGTTAGGCATACTCTTGGAATCAAATTACAGGGAATCTGAAAAAAGTAGTGGCGGAGGAATGAGTTTAAGGGAAGTAGTGGAAGAAGTAAAGCTATTTTACTTGGCGGGGCAGGAAGCGAATGCAGAGTTACTGGTCTGGACTTTGTTATTATTAAGTAAGCATCCTGATTGGCAAGCAAAGGCGAGGGAGGAGGTTTTCCAGGTGTTCGGTAATGAAAAGCCAGATTATGATAGGCTCGGTCAACTCAAAATTGTAAGTTTCATATACCATATATCAATGTCTTGACTTAATTCATTTGAAGAGGGATAGCATTTCAGTTCACCCCACTTTTTATCGAACAGGTGTCAATGATTCTACAGGAGAGTCTCAGATTATATCCACCAGTAGTTATGTTCGCTCGGTATCTTCGTAAAGATACAAAACTTGGAGACCTTACAATTCCCGCAGGAGTGGAGCTTGTAGTACCTGTGTCAATGCTACACCAGGAGAGGGAATATTGGGGCGATGATGCTGGGGAATTCAATCCAAACAGATTCTCGGAAGGTGTTTCAAAAGCAACAAAAGGCAAGCTTTCATACTTGCCATTTGGATGGGGTCCTCGACTCTGCATAGGGCAAAACTTTGGTTTGTTAGAAGCAAAAGTAGCTGTGTCAATGATCCTGCAACGTTTCTCCCTCGAGTTTTCTCCCTCATATGCTCATGCCCCGTCTTTTATTATTACTCTGCAGCCTGAGCGTGGGGCTCATGTCATTTTACACAAACTGTAGAATGCAGTTCACGGTCTCTTTTGATTTAAGTTGAAGTGTTTTTTAATGTTTTTCTATTGAAATCAAAGAATTAGGCTTCTTTACGTTGTATCCAATCAGACCTTTTTGTTGTTAGTAAAAAAATAAAATAAATTAGGCTTCTTTGAAGCTTGCATGCGTTCTTAAGGAGTCTGTAATGTTAATTTTGCTAATCCTCCTAGTTTGTTCGGGAGATGGGAAATATGAACGTTTACGTAAAATCTATTTGAAGACCAATTCATGATTTTTACATCCATGGTCGTAGAATTGTACAATGCGTGATTAAATTCTATTAATTCCATTAGATACGGAAGTCCGGTCATGCGAATTGTCATGAGTCTATTTTTTTTTATGAGTTAGTATATTACATGAATTAATCAAGTATTGCTACTATCGAAGTGAATTACATGATATTGGCATATTGGTGCTATAACACCCCGTGGAAGTTGCAGGTAATGCCAGCTTAGTTGTCTTGCTCCTTGTGATTGTCATGTTTTTCCGATGTATGGCAAAAAAAATTTTACTGAATTGTTTTTTTTTTAAATAATATTGTTACCCACACCATTCGAAGTCGAAATGAATGTATACTCTATACATGATACCAGCTGTTTTTCACTATTATAAATTACCTTAGATATTTAAATTTAAAAACAATTGATATAATCTTCCTAAAACATGTTTAATTTTACATCGAGTAAATATAGACGATTTAAAACATGTTAAAAGTCCGTAACAAGTCTATTAATACTGTAACTCTAGTCATTCAAGATAATTTCAACTTTACGATCTACTTGAACAAGCCTACGCTTAATAAAAGCTCTTAGTGTACCAGTCCAATATTCCGCTTATTCATAGATCATAATATTTTAATTGTTTGCCAACAAAATAGAATGTCAAAGTTTACCTTGAACCCTATTACCCTCTAGTTTTCTCTTGAATCAAAAGCTCTGATGAATTCGTCTACCAGCCCCATCCATTATCAGTACCACTGATGAATTTGAGGTTGATTACACCAATCCTCTCAACAAAATGGCAGTTTTAACTTACGGGCTAAACGTCTTTATGCACACTCCCAGTCCAATAGATGACATGTGTATATACTGTGCAGCAGGCACAAATCAACATGATTTACACGCACTATCAACTCACATCATATATAGGTAATAATTTTTCACTATAGGATGAGTAATTGTTAGCATCTTTAGTTACAAAAGTAATAATCAAAGATAACATTCTGCAATCAAATAAATTGTATCTAATGACAACCAAACAAATCAGTTTACAGTACAAAAATTATATCCTTCTGTATAATAATACTTAGTTCATTTTATATCAAATCTAAGCTAAAATGCTGACAGATACACTTATACAACCTCAAGCACAAACAACTTCCCTTTCATGATGCGCACGCCTGCTCTCAATGAATGTCATACGAAATTTCTTAAATCTTCCATCCTTTATTGCTTCTCTTATTACATGAAAGAACATCAGGTAGTGGTGTGTATTATGGCTGCAAAGTTCAGTATAAATTAATACTTGCATGTTTAAAGTATGAATTATTTGTAACAGTATTGTTTGCTACTATAACTTGAAGGGAAGAAATTCATACATTTCTAGCAGAATCTGAGCCAGCATTTCATGAACATTAAGTAGGTGGTTGACGTATGCTTTAGTATGATTCTTGCATGTATAGCATGTGCAGTTTCCTAAAATGGGGGACATATCTTTCCTGCACAAAAACACAAGCAGAAAGATGAGTGTAAACGAGGTGATGTTCAGTTTATTTCATTTTTAATCAATATGTTCTTTGTTGGAATATCTCTACGCATTCAATATCAATTCTATTGTATTTCATTTTTTGTTCTCTCCTTTCTTCTGTCTACACTTCAAATCCCACAATTCAATGTGGTATCAGAGCTGTTTGGTATGATTTGCAGTAAAAACATTGGTTTGCAGACTTCACAAATTTCTTTATGGTCTCAAAGGGTCTCCCGGAACTTGGTTTGGTAGGATTAGATACTATAGTACAGATATTTAGTATAATTTGTAGTAAAGCTGATATGAATCTCAATAGCACAAGGGATGATTTAGGATCTTTAGGGTTAAAACTTTGTAGAAAATTTAGGAATTTAGGGATAAGGTGGAAGGAAAGAATCACTCTTCCCAAAAGAGGCAACTCACAAAAAATGTGAAAGTCTTTTGATACAGCCAAATATGCTTGAATCACTCAATAATTTAGGAGAATCACTCTCACCAATATAAAAGAGATAAACTCTAATATTTTAAAATAAAACTCAACTTGTTATATTTGATAAAAATATGATTCAGCCTATATAGAAGTTTTGCTATCAGAATTACAAAGATTCAATAAAGGAAAATAAATATTAATAATTATTCATTAACCTAGGAATTGAAAACTACTTAATGGAGACAAATAAAGACTAACAATGATCCATTAACCTAGGAATTGATACTACTTAATGACTGATTGTAATTGAAATTGTAGCAACCAAAAGTCAATCAGCTATGTACCCTCTTGATCTCCCAAAGACTGATGACTAAGTTTCCAATTGGGCCCTTATTACAACTTGCAATAAAACGAAACTAAAGCCCATTAATTGATTAATCCAAAACACAATTTGATCAATCAACAATACTTGTTGAAGAGCTTTCTTTACTTCCCTTGCTCTAGTCCTTGTCATAAGTCATATCCACATCATTCTCTCCCTCTTGAAAAGGATTTGTCCTCAAATCGGATTTGTCATCTACATAAAAAAGAGATAAGTCTGACAAATTGAATGTAGAACAAACATTATACTCACTTTTTGTGGCTAAATAGCTCTCTCTCACTTCAAGTGTTTCACTCTTCTTTTGATCACTCTTTTTCTTCTCAAGTGTTTCACTAACGTTTTCTTTTTCTCTCTTCTCTTGAAGAAGTTTATCTCTCATTTTATTTTTATCCTCACACACTTCTTCTGGACTCAAAGGTTTGAGCACAATCTTCTTGTCTTGGTGCATGAAAGAGATCTTGTTAGTGAACCCGTTATGATGAACTCTTTTATCAAATTGTCACGGTTTCCCCAAAAGTAAGTGACTGGCCTCCATAGGAACAATATCACAAAATACATTATCATTGTATTTTCCAATGGAAATGTTCACTTCAACTTGCTTCTTCACATGCCCCTCTCCATCCTTACAAAGCCATTGAAGTTTATAAGGCCTAGGATGTGGTTTAGTAGGTAAATTTAGCTTTAACACTAATCTAGCACTAGCCACATTGGTGCAACTACCTCCATCTATGATCATCATGCACACCTTGTCATTGATTAAACATCTAGTGTGGAAAATACTTTTTCTTTGGCTTTCTTCCATAGATTTCAATTGGTCATCAAGTAATCACCTAATCATTAATAAATCTCCCTTTGGAATCTTCTCCTCTTCAACCTCAGATTCACTTATATATTCTCCCTCTCTAAGAACCATAGACTTTTTGTTAGAACACTCATAAACATAGTATCCTAGGCCTTGACATTTGATACACTTCACATCTCTACTTCTTTTAGAGGGTTGTTCTTTGGACTTTGAAGGAGTCTTTGTAGGAATAGGTGTGAAACTACTAGAAGTAACAGCCCCATCTTTTTTGTCTTTGTCCTTCCAACTTGAAGATCTAAAGTTGGTAGAACTCTTCTCAGTCACTTCTTTTCTGTTGAGTTGTTGCTTCACTCGAATTGTTTTATGAAGTAAATCTTCCATATCAACAAACTCCTACAACTCAACAATATCACGTATATCAATATTCAAACCACCAATAAATCGAGTCATAGTTACCTCTTCATCTTCTTCAATCTTTACTTCAATCATGAGCTTGTCCATTTCCTTGAAATACTCCTCAACCCCCTTGTTGCCTTGAGTAAGTTTTTGGAGTTTAAATTTCAAGTCCCTTGAATAACTAGCCAGAACATACCGCTTCCTCATGATCCTTTTCATCTCAGTCCATGTATCAACCATTGGCTCTTCATTTCTACCTCTCTCCTTTTGTAGCATGTTCCACCAAACAAGAGCATTGTCAGAAAATTCCATGATTGCAAGCCTCACATTTTGGGTCTCCTCATAATTGTTGCATGAAAAAACATGCTCTATTTTCATCTCCCACTCCAAGTATGCCTCCGGATCACTTTTTCCTTTTAACGGGGGAATGTTAAGCTTGACTCCTTTAAGCCTACTTGGTCTTGTTACTCCATCATTCCTTCTCCTATTTCTCCTTTCTTCTTCATCTTCGGGATCTCTATTCTCCAACTGATTTAATCTTTCATTGAGCTCATTGTTATGTCGTTTCATTAATCCTTCCAAATGTTGTATCCCCTCATTTGAAATGGACTAATTATTGTTTCTTGATTGTAATTTTCCTCATCTGCCATTCATTTGATGTTCAAACCCTTAAACCGGGGCTCTGATGCCAACTGATATGAATCTCAATAGCACAAGGGATGATTTAGGATCTTTATGATTGGAACCTTGTAGAAAATTTAGGAATTTAGGGATAAGATGGTAGGAAAAAATCACTCTTCCTAAGGGAGGCAACTCACAAAGGATGTGAAAGTCCTTTGATACACCCACTCAAGAACTTAGGAGAATCACTCTCACCAATCTAAAAGAGATAAACTCTAATATTTTTGTTAGATATGATTAGATATTGTTTGATATTGTTGAGATATTGTTAGATATTGTTAATCACAATATCAAATAATATCTTTTTATTTACCCTATTTGTATTCCGTTACTCTTTTGAGGAGTACCTTTCTTTATTATAAATACACTGCCCTATGTGTGGTAAACACATAAGGGAAATTAACCCTATACAGTTTTTCCCTATATTCAACAGATGGAATAACATGGTATCAAGAGCTTAAGGTCTCTTGGGATTTTTTTTCGGCTCTGCCACTGAACTTGCAGTTGTCGCCGCCTCCATCGCCGCCGCCGTC